TGTATTTTTAAGTTACATGGGTATTAGTGATGAATTTTCCAAGCTTTGTGTAGGCTCTAATTTTTCTGAGATTACAAGGTATTTTACAAAGCCTTTATTTTGTTATATTAAAAATATCTGGTCTTTAGTATTTGGAAAAAGCAAAAAATGAAATGAGGAAATGGAGGGTAAAATGTTTTAGTGGTGTTTCTTTTCTCTCTATATAAATAATGCAAATTTGAGTAAGCATTTTTCAGTGAAAAATATATTCCTTTGTTCATTAAATATTTATTAAGCACATTTTATTGCTAGGAACTGTGGCAGTCGCTGGTTTTATATTGATAAACAAAATAGAACTGGTTTGTCCACTGAGGTATCTCAATATCTAGCATGGGAGATGGGTGAAGCAAAACAAATACATAAATACAAAGTCTGTTAGGTGTCATTAAGTGAAGAAATGGAGCAAGAGACCAAGGGGATCTGTAGGATCTGTATGGTAGTAAGGATGGCTACTTGGAGAGAATGCTTTCAAGCTGAGGTTTCAAGGATAAGGAGCCGGCCCTGTCCAGAGCAGACAGGGAGCATTCCAAGCAGGGAAAATCGCATCTGGGAAGGCCTGGGGGCAAGAAAGAGTCTAGAGATAGGAAGCAATATGACTGGAGGGTGGTGTCCACAGAGTAAGTCCCCACAGATTTGATGGCTGGCTGGATGAATGAATGACGGCAGAAGGAGAGGGTTAATCGTAGGATTGCCAAGTAGCTCTCTCCAACTGCAAAATGGTTGTTTCCTCAGCTGCTGCACCATGTGGCCTCTCTTTCCATTTCACTGTCAGCTGGGATTTGTCCTCCATAGATTATTAGAGAGATTTAATAATCTAAGAATATTGAGTTAAAATGGCTGAAGACATCCAACAGTTAACCTGGTAGTTGTGAAAATTAAATGGTTGGCAGACTATCTCTGAAACTGCGTCTTACAGAGGCTGAGGTTTTGGATGAGGCTTTGCTCAGAGAGCCAATGATAGAATGTGTCTTTTGTCATCAGTGCCCAAGAAGAGATGTGGTCAGATGGTGGTACCTTTGATCCCTAAATTGTCTGCCCTGTCTCTTCCCCTTGTCATTTTTCTGTGGGTACAAATGTTACACTCCTGGATGATGCCTCACACCCCAAACCATCTATTTAGTTGGTGATGGAATTCTGAGGAAGCTTTTTGAGTCCAAGTGGCTGCAATTAATGATCTTAAGTAAAACATATTAAAGTAGGTTTTAAAACTTTTTTCACTCTGTGCTTTGGCAGGTTTTGAAACTTTGAATTAATTTTGAGTTTTCAGAAGTTTTCCTGTCTTCCACCAACCTTTTTTTTTTTTAAGATGCTGATTATTTGAGTGCTAGTCATTGAGGTTTATTTGCCATCTTGCTAAAGGGACTGCACTCATGTCACTCATTCATCCAACAAATTCCTTTTTTAGTGCCATACATGTCTCTGTGTTCGTTGCAGATTGTGTAGTGAAAGATGAGACACTCTCGGAGTTTGTCCTTGTAAAGCATAGGGTATGGTATGGGAGACACAAGTAAATGCACACACACACAAACACACACACAGATTGTGTTAAGTATTAGGAGGAAAAGGTGTGCTTTGAGAGAGAATAACTTTGTCATCTGCTTTGGATTGGCTCATCGGGAAGCAGTATTTGTGTAGGTACTATAGGTAGAACTCTGAAAGAGAAGGAGTCAGTAGCATAGGGAATAGAGGGGTAATGGTAATCATTTCCCTAAAAGATGTTGATTGTTTTTATTCTGAAATGGAAGATTATATATACTGTTGAAGCTTCAGCTTACCACCATTCACAAAGTAAGGTGGGTAGGGCCCAAAATAAAAATCTTGATTTACAGAATTATTGCCGACATTGTGTGGGAAGATGTGTATTTACCTGCATTCAAGTATGCCAGAGATCTACATGAAATGAGTGCAGAGTGATCGATTGGTTCAATGTATAATTACTTTGTATTTAATACTTCTTTACCTTTTGATATTTTTAAGGCAAGGAATTTAAAGAACTCTTGGGTTTTAAAAACTAGATGTCTAACTATTGCATGTTTCACGGTTAAGAAAACAGACCAAGAGAAGTTAAAAAGGAGCAGAAAGATGTTGGAAAGAAAGCTGAGTAGTTATGCTTATGATTTCAAGGTGTTTATTGTTACTTCATAATTAATTCAAATGCTTATATGTGGAACTGTCTGTCCTGATGAACTTTGAAACTTTTATCCATTTGATCAGGTTTGCTCTAATTTTATGTAAAGCCGAATAGATCGGTGTGGGAGGCTTGCTGCATTTCACTTGAGTGATACATGTTTGGTGCTCAGAAAACAGCTGGGAAGGCAAGGTCTCCACACTTCCATATGTTCTTTTTTCTATCTTTAAATCTTAGGAAAATCACAGAACGTTAAACTAATCCCTTATCCTAAACATGTTAGCAAACTACAAATGGAAAAGGTAGACATGGTTGTTATTTACATATTTGCTTAGAAATGATTTTATTTAAACAGGAAGTTAGCTTTCATATATCATTTGTGTTAGAAGCTAGAAGTATATTGTGTCAAGTAGAGAAAGCCACTTAGAGAATAGGAATATCTGACTTTAGGGAAGGGTTCTGAAACAAAACAAAAACAAGCCCAAGTCGGAATTGGTTCTTCACTTTTCCCTCATATAGTCAGAAAAAGTTTTTCTTTTAAACCTAAACAGGAAACATGTGATTATGTTATTTTGCTTTGTTTCTCATTATTTTTCCGTAATCATCTTAAGTTGCATTTGCCTTTCATCTGATTCTTTTTGAAAAATGTTAATATTTCAATGAATTTTGGATGATTGTAAAGGATTCTCTGTATGGGGCTTTTTTCAGCTCATTTGATCAAAATTAAGTAATTTATAAATCCAACTGACAAAGCTTTGTTATTTTGGCAAAATATTATTCATGCTCCAGAGCAAAAGTTAAGGTAAAATAAGATAAATGCTGTAAGCTTAATGAAGGATGAAAGCTTATATTATTTTTTTTAATGTTTTTTTAAAAAATTATTTATTTTTACGTAAACTCTATTCCCAGTCTGGGGCTTGAACTCATAACCCTGAGATCAAAAGTTGCATGCTCTACCAACTGAGCTAGTCAGGTGCCCCTATATATTATCTTTATTAAGGGATTATTTCTGTTAGGGGAAATGGGTACAGTGCTAGTGTTTTTCACACACTTTTGTTTTGTGCTAACCCTTATAAATTTGGATATTAATACTGTTAATAATATCATTGTTTTATTTAATTTTTCTTTTGAATATAGTTGACATACAATGTTACATTAGTTCTAGAGTGTAGCCAACAACACTTTTACAGTATCATTGGCTATATTCCCTGGACTGTGTCTTTTATTTCCATAACCTATTCATTCCATAACTGGAAACTTGTACCTCCCATTCCTCTTTACCCATTTTAACCATCCTCCTAACCCTCTCCCCTCTGACAACCATCAGTTCTCTGTATTTATAGGTTTTATTCTGCTTTTTGTTTATTCATTTGTTTTTTAGATTTCACATGAGTGAAATCATAAGGTATTTGTCTTTCTCATCCTGACTTATTTCACTTAGCGTAATGTTTTCTAGGTCTATCCACACTGTCACAAATGGCAAGATCTCATCCTTTTTTTATGGCTGCATCATATTCTGTTGTATGTATATGTGTGTATGTACACACACACACACACACACACACACACACTTTTATCCATTCATCTATGGATGGACTTTGGATTGCTTCCATATCTTGGCTATTGTAAATAAAGCTGCAGTAAACATGAGGTGTATATATCTTTTCAAAATGCTGTTTTGTGTGTGTGTGTGTGTGTGTGTGTGTTTTAGGTACTCTGTAGTGGAATTACTGGATCATAGGGTAGCTCTATTTTTAATTTTTTGAGGAGCCTCCATACTATTTTGCACAGAGGCTGTACCAATTTACATTTCCACCAATGAGGAATTGGTTCCCGAGGGTTCCTTTTTCTCCATATCCTCCTTAACACTTGTTATTTGTTGTTGTTTTGATTCTAGCCATTTTGACAAGTGTAATGTGATATCTCTTTACAGTTTTAGACTTGCATTTCCCTGATGATTAGTGATGTTGAGCATCTTTTCTTGTGTCTGTTGGCCATCTGTATGTGTTGTTTGGAAAAATGTCTATTAAGTTCCTCTATCCATTTTTTAATTGAATTGCTTGTTTTTGTTTGTTTGTTTTTTTGGTGTTGAGCTGTGTAAGTTGTTTATATATTTTGAATATTAAGCCCTTATCAGATATATCATTTGCAGATATCTTCTCCCATTCAGTAGATTGCCTTTTTGTTTTGTTGATGGCTTCCTTCACTGTGCAAAAGCTTTTTATTTTGAAGTAGTCCAGTAGTCTAGTTTTGCTGTTGTTTCCCTTGCCCTAGGAGAAGTATCTAGAAAACTGCTGCCACAGCTGATGTTAGAGAAATTACTGCCTATATTCTATTCTAGTATTCTTATGGTTTCAGATTTCATATTTAGGTATTTAGTCCATTTTGAGTTTATTTTTGTGGAAGGTGCTAGAAAGTGGTCCAGTTTCATTCTTTTGCATGTAGCTGTCCAGTTTTCCTAACACCATTTGTTGAAGAGACTGTCTTTTTCCCATTGGATATTCTTGCCGTCTTTGTGGTAGATGAATTAATTGACCACATAAATGTGGGTTTATTTCTGGGTTCTCTATTCCATTTCATTGATCTATGTGTCTATTTTTGTGCTAGTACCAACAGCATCATTGTTTTAAATACTTATGTTAACTGATTAGGAAGTGTCATTTTATGTTTTTTTTCCCTACATGCCATTGCCAAAACGTACACTGTCATAGCCTAATGTTTTTTTACACTGTTTAACAACAAATAGGAATGTACTCAACAGTTACACTACAAATGTATTTAAAACCCAAGTTCATGATACTTGAATGTAAAATAAGTTTCATATGTTTTACAGAAAACGCATGTTTCAGAAGAGATGGGTGAAATTTGATGGCCTTAGCATTTCTTATTACAATAACGAGAAGGTAAGAACATTTTATAGTTCTCAAAGATTTTCTTGCATATCCAAGGTGTACACTTCAGTACTAAGCACGCAATTTGGTTTTTAAGAACAGAAGTTGGATTACCAGCATGAAAAGAATTTGCATGTGGTGAAACACTCTGTTCATAGTTTAACTTTTCTTTACACATAAAATTTGGATTTAAAAAAATTACACATCCAACAATTATTTATGGAGTGTCTTCTACAAACAACAGGAATTGTTGTGAATGATGTAAGGATGAATAAAAAATTATCTTTCTCTTAGAAAGCACTAAGAAATGTTTACAAAAGGATACTACAGGTAGGCAACAAAAGGAGAGGTTACTTTGTACTCTGGAAGGATATGGAAGAACCAGAGAAGGCTTCTTGCATGAGAGTTCATTTGCCATGGGTCTTGAAAAAGAGGAATGTTTGCACATAGAGACTAGAGAGACTAGGACGTGGTAACATAAAGAACCATGAGATGTCCAGATGCGAAGTCAGTTTTCTGATTGGAAAATAGAATATATGAAGGATAATCCAATCAAGAAATGGGCAGAAGACATGAACAGACATTTTTCCAAAGAAGACATCCAAATGGCCAACAGACACATGAAAAAGTGCTCAATATCTCTCGGCATCAGGGAAATCCAAATCAAAACCTCAATGAGATACCCCCTCACACCAGTCAGAATGGCTAAAATTAACAAGTCAGGAAACGA